ACATTACAGATCCCGTTATTCACCTTAGCGGGACATCGGGAAACTGTCACACGCATTTGCTGGTTACCTTCCACTCTTACTAATGATAGCGAAATAAAGCCTGGTGGAAACCAGCTACTGTCTATCAGTTGGGATCATAGTCTACGTATTTGGGATTGTGAAGCGGCCAAAGGTAACACTGGTGCTGAAGTCCGGTGTATACTTTCCAATCATGCTTTGCATGATGCAGATGTCAATAGCAGAGGTATTTTGACTGCTTCTTCTGATAACTGTATTCGAATATTTGATCCACGAGCAGAAGGTAAGCTTTATTATATTACGTAACAAACTTTGTCCTTGAAGATAGTTATTTTTTAACAATACTCATTATCTTTGATTTAATTTTCAAAGTACTTTGCATACTGATGAATGTCCGAACAAGCATTCCACATTAATGGAGATTTCACTGCGTATGACGTAAATGCTTTGACATTTTGGTCATTACTTTCCAAATTTTGGTAGCTGATAAAACCTCAGATGAAATGCAAAGTATTCGCTTGATTTTTACCATTTATGACTCAACTAATGTGTGTGAATACCTAATTAAGAACAAGAATATTATGATCCAGTTTTTCCTCTGCTACCACGTCTGTAAAAAAGCCAGCCTGAAACTTAGTGGTATGTAATCATAAGTTCTTCATAATCACTGTTGGTAGCCAATAAGATCACCAAGCGTCCAATGATGATGTTAGGTGCAAAAGCGATGTTGGTTAATGGGTTTGTGAGGTGTTATTGACTGGGTTGGCTTGGGGGTGCGTTATGTCTAACTATCCACTACTTTCCCCACCCTACTGAATTAGATTCTACAGGAGTAACGTGATAAAAGTCTTATAATGGCTTAAACAAAACAGCATTACTCATTTAGGTTGTTGACTATATTACTGTATAGCTATGATATGTAACCTTTAAAGGTAGACTACATTCGTAAGTTACCGGTATTTGAGCATAGTTATGCATCGACCAAGATAGTCGGGACATGTTATGAATGTTGAATCATAAATTACTTCGATGTACAAAATTGGTTGAAGTAGAAATAAGTTGGAAGAAAGTTTGCAGCTGCCCAAACAAATAATTGACACCAGTCTGTGTATTTACTAACTGTTCGTTTGTACCATGTTGGTAGATACAGATTCCTTGGTTGGGGTGCTCATTATCGAATGATACGTCACAGAAACCGTCGCATTGACCAAGACACGTCCACTCTTTATTAGCTTCTAGATCTTGAGTTTCAACATTTCTTCGTTTATACAGGAGGATTTTATTGATTGATCATACAAAATTTTAGACCATTAAAGTAAGCAAATAGAATACTGGTCGATAGATGGTAAGCAATGATGCAAAGTGTAGCTGATTGATGGCTGCCCACAAGACTTGTATTATTGACATAAGCCCGCAAATGATTACTGAACATAGAACTACTGACCAGAAGAATAAACGTTTTATGCAATAAGATGACAGTTTTGTATACAAAATACTAACAAAAAAGGACATTTCACAAGCGATTGAAGGGTATCAGTTTATGGGTCACTCACTACTTTCCAATCACTTAGGACCTAACTGTTAGGCTTATTACTTTTCCACCGTATCACTCCCATACATAACTTATTTTCAAACCATATTCCCAATCTCTCTTTTTTCACTATCAATACTACTAGTATTACTTCGACTTGTTTGATGCTTATCTTGTTAATTTCACCTCATTGTCCCAATGTAGTATGACAACTTGGGTCAATGCACACTTGTATCAGGCTCTACGTTGATTATGACCGACCGAATAATAAGACCTTGAGATGAAGGCACTAATATGTCTAATTAAAAATTCCAGAGGACTTAACCATCCAGAGAAGTGATCAAAGTAAGACTTTATGGTTTACTGACTGGGATGTTACCCAGTGTACAAAGATAAAGATTCAATCAATATGGTTATTTGAATGGCAAACATTTTTTTTGTTTGTTTGTAACTATCTATCACCTAACCATGCCTTTTAAAATTTAAATTTCTGTTCTAATATTGAAATGTGCATGTATATACTTCAAAATCTCCCTATTTTAAATTCTTTTTCTACCAAATTATTTTATAAAGCACCTTTAGTACTCTCTGGATTTCAAGGACACACAGGCTGGTTGACTTCAGTTGCTTGGGCACCTCATAGACAAGATCAGTTTATATCTGGATCAATTGATCGTAGTGTTCGTTTATGGGATACACGTAATCCTCGTTCCTCTCTATATGACTTAATGGGACATGCTGATATTGTGACAGATGTTGATTGGGCGCCTGCAATTAAATTACTTACTAATGATAAACCTATACATTATATCTTAAGTTCATCAGCTGATTCTACTGTAAAAGTTTATCATTATCCAGAGTGATATAATTTATGTTTTGATTACGACAATCGAATATCTGTTTTTGATTGTATAAAAACGCATTTGTCTATTCTCGAATTAAGAAAAAAATAAAATAAAACAACCTGATTTCACATTGCATTCTATGAGTTTTTATTAAACTTGATGAATAAAACATGAATAATGTACAGCCAATTCAAAATTAAACACATTATCCCCATATGTAAAACGTGTTCTTAATCATAAATATTTTTAATATTGAGTATGATAAATGTTCTATTGAAATGACTGGTTATAAACTGTGTCTTTATAAGATAAGTCTTATTTTTAAATTAAAATACATAGGTCTGCATATACTGATTTTATACACAAAGCAAAATATTTCACGTTGACGAATACTGTTTGTATGTAAACAAAATAGAATTGACTCTGTTTGTTTAACCATTCAATAGAATTTTATATGTCAGTCCATTCATAATTGTTCGAATTAATTAGAGAGTTCGGATTGTCAGATGTTTAAGGCTGTCAGAAAAGAGATCTCTTACATGTAATATTTGTTGTTATTATTACTATCATGTTTCCAGCTTAAAGTTTACCCATTAGCTTTCTGTTTAATTGGATCTCTCTCGAGAATTACTAATGTCCTACATTGGAATTCGTCCACCAGACTATATCATTACCATTGTACATTCATTATATATGTGACTGTGACTTATCCAAGAATTTAGACATTATTAAAAAATCTATGAACAACACAATGAGCTACATCCGGTTTGACTTTTTGAAAGTTGGTATTTCGAGACATAATTTACTACTAATTATTTATAATGTTTTAAGCCATGATTTTTCAGCGATTCTGTAGTATAACTGTTAATCAAAGCCTGAAATGGATTGAGCTGTTAGTGAATAATATGACCCCATGAGATATAGTTTTCATTGACAGAGTTATAAATCACACCTATCATAAAAAGCTACATGTCATAGAACTTTTCAAGTGTTAGATGCTAGATTGGTTCAAACTTATGACCCAATAGCAAGTGATGAACCTAGACCCCAAAGTACACCGTCTAGTTCACATCAGATTAATTAGTATGTGTGCTGCGATTATGTTAAACGTTGTTATACACGATCCTCTTGTTTAATACGATTTACATTTTTAACTTTCTTAATTTGTCATATACATTACGTGGTTTAGTAGATAATGTGCTTATTTTCAGTGCAGGAATTGATTGGTTATCCAGACCTCCACTAATTATCCTATAAACTTTATCACTTGTAAATAGATGGTGTTTTCAAAACAGTTTGACTTTCAATTAATTAGGCTCCAGAAAACCAAGACATTTTTCTTTGACAAATTAATTTTTTTTTGAATCACTACTGCTGATTACTATAGCTCTAAGCTGTGGAAACTTACCATGCCTCTATCATTCAACAAATGTACAAGTTAATTTCCTCCATTCACCAATGACATTTTATCATGTTCATTTTGTTACATCAAAAACTATTCATCCGGCTAGTGTTCTTGTATTTGATTGGTAATTATTCAGAGACCCAAGTAAATAATATGATCTTGGGAGTAGCCGACACCTCGTTCATCTATCGATTAGTATTTTATTCATTGATTTGAACAACCGAAAATTTCGCCAATTGATAAGATTTCATCTGACATGAGTAAACAACTTAAATTTCATAAATTCTTGTAGGTCGGGAATAACCTCTCCTGAATAATTACTGTCCGTATATCTGTTAATAATTCCCGAAACAAATTTATAATGTTAGTGAAGTTTGATTTTGGCTAGCAGAGAGGAATCGCAATATTGACGCTGGGATGGAGATGTATTCAGCTGAAAAGTCTTCAAGAAGTTGAGACGTGCATTGTGGCGTCCGTCGCTGACCATAATTCAAGATTCTGACTAGACGACAGTGTCAAGTAAATTCATTCAGGATCTGCATATGCCAATACTGATCGGTTGGGACCCTTAACATCAACATCGGGGAAATCCAAACTATTCATAGATTGGATGAAGTTATATATTAACACCATTGGATGCTGGCTTAATGGTATATTGGTTCAGTGTTCGTGCAAGACCAAAGTTTCTGGGTCTAAGTCCTGCATACGGGATCGTGAACGCCCACTGTTGAGGAGTTCCGTTTCCAGTGCTTCCAGGTCCTCAATGATAGTTTAACATTTGATCGGCTAATGATTTTAATGGAAAACAAACTAATGCGCTCCCTGTAAAATCTATGTGCTCAGTACGGATTCTAGCTTAAAGTGAAAATTATTACTTGAAATTAATTCGTGCAAAGAAAAACCTATTCAGTAATTTTCCTCTAATAGTGGTTTGTGTTGATAGTTTTTGTCGAATTGTGCTTCGTATGTTCGTGAAACTTATGTTTAACAGAGTTTATAATAATCTCTAAGAACAATTAATAAGTTGCCTATCAATTCAACCTAAACAGTATAATATTAATTACTATTTTCCCTTGAATATCGTCCCATTTATTTTTCATAACACTTAATTGCAAATTCTTTTGTTTATTTATTTGATATTGTAGAGTAAACAACAGTATTCATCACATTACCGTTTTTTCATAGTTATTACACATACAAAATGCCGTTAATTCTGTTATGCGGGTATCCTTGTTCAGGTAAATCAACCATTGTCTCTTTATTAGCTGACATACTAAAGCAACATTTACCTCATTATTCAATTCTTATTGTCGATGAATTTAAAAGTGGTAATCTACAATCGAAAATAACAACTAACTATGATATCAGATGTGATATTTATGCAGATTCCCTAAAAGAACGTGAATTTCGCGGTCAACAAAAATCAGAGGTATGAATAAACTTCCCTTAATATATCCAACTGTCCATATTAACAGCATATAATCGATTGATAAGTAGTTTGAGGAAATAAACCGATTACTTAGAGGTCTTTGTTGCTATAAGTGACACCTAAGACAAAACATAAATTCAAACTTTCTTGTTGATCCCTTCCAGTGATCTAACACTAAACTGTTAAGCGTATATTTATAAGGAATGTGTTTTATGAAATTTACGGATAATGTATATCTCCTGATCAACTGATAACTATAACTTGACTTATGATTATGTGTTTATAGGTTTTAATGAGTTATTTCTTTTAAGGTCAACATCTTCCTCATTTTTAACTATCTTGGGAGCACTACACCTATGTTTTTCTGTTGATCATGCTTTTAAATTTTGTAATTCTTGTTTGCTTGATGATCAGGTTGAACGAGCACTTACACAAAGTCAATCGACTATAGTAATCATGGATGCACCCAATTATATCAAGGGCTATAGATACGAATTATATTGCATGGCCAAATCTCATAAACATCAACAGATTGTTTTATTCAGTGATATCCCGCCTGAAATTTCGGAACATTGGAATTCGAAAGTGAATTTTAATTATTCTTGTTCACTACTTTGTTCGTCTATCTGTTTATTATTACCATTGTTATTATTTAGATATGATAGTCAGTCTTTTAAACGTTCTCTCCAAAAATCCTGATCTTGTCATACCATGTAGATCTTCTATAAACCGGTTAGTGCCATATTGTAGATTTGAGGCACTGAACTGTTTATCAAAGATAATTAGCATACCACGAAACAGTAAGTTCTTGCAGATGTGAGAAAAGGTTAGAAGTGGTACGAAACCAAAACTAGGTCAGTATTCTCAAGATAAACTAAATTCGTCATTTTCTTACGTATGTTACTTTCAAGCTCCTCGTAAACACTTCTGAGTATCATTCTATCAAAAGTCAACGAAGAAAAATATAAACTTTGAAAATCCAATAGCATATTAAGTCCATCCACATCTCAAAGCCTCTTTTAACACATAAATCACTCATACAGTATAGATAACCTTAAAATCCATCGTCATGCGTTGTACTATATATGTAAGTACTATAATTAATACTTTCCTGTTAACTGCCTGAAAGTTGATCTGGATGTCCCGACCGTTGTTGCTACCTTGACGTGGTGGTCGGGCTTGCCTATCGTGATGAAGCAGCCGAGCTATACTGGCTGGAACAACCGTTCCTCAAGGTCCTACCATGTCAGACAGGTCTATTGAAGAGCGGTAAGACCAAAAGCAACAAACCCAAGGTCCGAAGGCGAAGTCGTACTGCTAACTGTACAGAGGTGTGACGGCAGTAAAGTGTTTCCTTCAGACAACCAGCATGACGGCGATGCTGCCTTCCCACAAGGAGGGGTGGGGTTAGAAAAGGTCGACCCTAAAAATGCACACCTCGCCTTATCCCACGGATATCCGTCTCCGGCGATAAGGTCTCAACAGGTACGGAGCTAACACAAAAATTGCCCATAAGACGGCCATGTGTGACCGACCTCAAGAAGTTGTCCCTTGGACACCGCTTTCACGCTCCCATGTCACTAAGACCACCTCTAATCCTATTTCCTTTTCAGGTACCTCCAGAAGAACCCTTCCACGGTGTGGGCAACCGCCCTCATAACTCTAACAGCACTCAGGACCACTGTATTCATAATCAACCTCTGTCTTCACTTCCTATTATTCCTCCTGTATCGACTTTCACCTCTAAACTTCCTTTTTCGGCTTCCCCCTCAAGTGTCACCACAGCCAACGATTCTAGTGCTCAAAACACTGTCCCAGGTCTATTAAAACCTCGCTCCAAACTACACATTGGAGCCTTCAACGTACGCACCCTATGTCAAATCGGTCAACAGGCTTCCATGTCTAGAACCCTAGAATCTCGTACCATTGATGTATGCTGTGTCTCTGAAACACTCATACAGGATCCCAGTGTGGTCATTCACTGGACCTCACCTCGGCAAAACGGAGAGCCAACGAGATACACCCTCCGTGTATCTGGTGACGCGATGGCCAGTTCTCGTGGACTGGCAGGTGTAGGCATAGCACTAAGCATGAGGGCGGAACAAGCACTGCTAGAGTGGATCCCCGTTAACAGTCGTCTATGTGCTGTTCGGTTAAACGGCTCCGTAAGAACTCGGAAGGATAGGGATACACGTCGTTGCCTTTTCGTCGTTTCTGCCTACGCTCCCACTGACTGCAGCTCAGATGATGTGAAAGATGAATTTTACAGAAAGCTATCTGAACTTCTTCAGAAAGCTAAACGCTCAGACATAGTACTCGTAGGGGGTGACTTTAATGCTCAGATAGGTAGCTTAAACCAAACAGAAAGGCATTTAGGTGGATATTTTAGCATTCCGGCACAGCGAACAGATAATGGTGATCGTGTGCTGCAACTGTGCTCAGACAATCGCTTATTTTTAGCAAACACAAATTTTAAGCATAAGGAGAGACATCGTCTAACATGGCGACCCCCTACACCAAACCAACGATGGACTCAAATAGACCATATTGCCATCAGTCACCGTTGGAGAGGGTCGGTAGAAGATTTTCGCTCATTCTGGGGTCTGTCATTGAAAGGCGTATCACAGAAGTACATAAGCCTTGTGAAGGCTCTTTACTCGAACACTACCAATCGAGTCAGAGCTTATGGCAAACTGTCATCTGCTTTTGCAACCTCAAGTGGTGTCCGTCAAGGCTGTCCACTTTCTCCATTTTTGTTTAACTTCATCATAGATCTACCGATGGAAATAACATTCTCGTCTACCGAATTCTCGGGTATTGATCGCCTTCCAGGAGGTCCACTTATCGACTTAGAATACACAGATGATATAGTCCTGTTTGGTGAAGACGCTGACAAAATGCAGAGTCTTTTGGTAGCACTAAGCAACAATGCCAGAATGTTTGGAATGCGCTTCTCTCCCTCTAAATGCAAGTTGTTGCTTCAGGACTGGTCTGCGTCAACACCTGAACTAAGGATAGGGAGTGAAGTAGTCGAACGCGTTGGCAACTTCACTTATCTTGGAAGTCTGATCAGCCCTAATGGGTTGGTGTCTGACGAAATCGCAGCACGGATTCGAAAAGCTCGCTTGGCTTTTGCCAACTTACGTCACCTGTGGCGAAGGCGAAATATCCGTCTATCAATAAAAGGAAGAGTATACTGCGCGGTAGTCCGTTCTGTTTTAATTTACGGCAGCGAAACATGGCCATTAGGAGTAGAGGATATTCGTGAGTTACTAGTATTTGACCACAGATGCCTCAGAAATATTGCTGGCATCTGCTGGGATCACCGGGTAATTAATAGTGAGGTTAGGAGCAGGGTATTAGGGAATGATAGTAAATCAGTTGATGAGGTTGTTAATCTTCATCGACTGAGATGGTTGGGCCACGTGTTACGTATGTCTGAACACCGACTACCACGACGTGCAATGCTATCCGGTGTTGGAGATGGTTGGAAGAAAGTTAGGGGCGGCCAAACCAAAACGTGGCATCAGTGCTTGAAGTCACTAACTTCTAGTCTGAGCCATGTTGGTAGATGCAGAATACTCGATTGGGGTTCGCGTGACTATCGTAACCAATGGTTGTAGACTCTTGGTGACATGGCTCAGAATCGATCACAATGGCGTCGGTGTATACACTCCCTGTCTTCCCTTAAACTAAGAGATTAAAATTGTTTCATATCTTTCTTTCTACGAACTAATTCTTTCTTCCTGTACTATATCCTTATTGCAATCTTTCTTTTATATATTACCACCTCTGAATTAACTACTTTTATGAATCCGGTGTTGATCTTGTTGTGTTAATGAGGTATGGCAACTTGGACCGATGCATATATGTGCCTGGTCCTACGTTGTAGCTGACTGATGATCTGGATGGTTTCCTTGAATCCTTTACACAGTCCTAATTTTTAGCTCATATGATAGTTCACCGTAAATCTACTCCTTGCCACTAAAATATAATGACTTTATCTAATTATTACTAGCTAACGTGTGATTGCTATCACTGATTACCGGGAGAGACTAATTCACATTATTATTATTGTAAAATGTTTCAGTAGACTGTTATAACTTGTGACCGCCGATTAGAGAGCAGTGACTTATTGATCGGAACAATGACGCGTAAACCTGTATGAGCAGCCTAGAGTTCTGATTGGTCCTGCTTTCCGCCTAGCTCAGCCAGTCAAGTCCAGAACACAAGTCTCAGCCTCTTCAATATGAATCATGTATTTCAAACATACTCTGTTTATATACCAATCAAGCAGACTACATCGTACCATAAAACAGAAAATAACATTTGTACAATATTTGGCCAGCAGGAAAATGGCACGTGAAATAAATATTGACCAGTAGGGAAACGACACGTGAAATAAGTATTGACCAATAGGAAAACGATACCATTCCAAGTCCAAGGATAGCATTAGACTTAACAGGATAATTTTTAGGATATTTTTCTGAATATCCCAACATAGACAAATACCAACATGTTATTTATTGTTATGCTGGTGGTAACTGTGAAAACATGTTTTCGATATTTTTACGGAATACTAATCAATTTATAATTCTTTGCTAAATTTTCATTATTAGATTAATCGGTATCCTGTTGATCTGCTTTCGGATATGATTAGCAGGTTTGAACGTCCTCAGTCTACACAGCGTTGGGATAACCCACTTATAACTATTGAACCTCATCTTTGGAACTCACCAAGCACTGATAATATGGAGTCAGTAATTATACAAATAAAACAGCTGCTAAACAATAGAGGCAAAGGAAAGATCCAACCAAACAAATCAACACAACCGACAATTATTTCATCATCTAACTACCTACAAGTAAGTTTATAAAAGCTCTCTTTTGGCACATTGAAGAAATATTTTTCAAGTCATAAACAAAGATACTACATTTCGGTATTGGTATTGGAAAAGGTGTCTGGTTAAGCAATAACACACATCAGCATTTATCAATACAGTTTTGGGAGTAGGTGCTGATTAATCACTTTCAGGTTAACAGAACTAGCCCAATAAGCGGTTTTCATTCATTTACAGTTGAAGCATTCTTTTAACAGCCTGGCGTTCATCGACCTCAACACAAGTGGTTTCGACGTTAACTCTGAAAGTTTTACGTCTTATCGTTTTATTATGTTTTGCAGGAAAAGTTGAACACTTCTCATTTTACGAATCTCAATAATTACATGTTATGGCATTCTTAGTAATAAAAAACTCGTTTATTAAAATTGACTTATGATACCTGTTAAGCAATATATTGAACCTTTAAAATCATATATTTTCTACCATGCTCTTATTTGCAACATATTGAATTTCAGAATCTGGAGAATATCACGCAGCAAGTCGTAGATCATGTCCTTCGAAGTCAAACCAGTGGTCTTTCATCAGTCGATCTCCCTATGTGTTTCCAAAACGAGCATAACCGAGATGTAGTTCTTCAAATCAACAACTCCGAAACTAAGTACACGATTGGCAACCTTATACGACTTAAACGCCGATATATTGCGGTACAACGATTAAAATTTGATCAGTTAAATACAGTTTCGGATGATGCTTCGATTGCAACAAACTTTTTGCAGTTTATTTCGTTCAATGGGGATTTATGTGATGATGAAGCCAGTTAGAAAGTGACAAAAACTTATAAAGACAAGAATCACAGGTGATATTGTCATGTAACATAATATATTTTTTTATCGTTTGTCACACTGCTCTACAATGGGTCTTTTGTAACGATTTACAACATTGAATAGTGTATTTCAGAAATATGAAAATGGTATTTCTAAACTACACAGATATAAAATTAGAAAAACCCTATGAGCTACATTGAGACAAATACTAAGAATAAACAGTAGGAAAACTATATTCATTTTAAATGGCTACCCTAGCTACATTAACAGAGCAGTTTACCATATGGATATATTTGCCAAGTATGGACGTTTGTGTGAAGGCTCGTAATACATACTCCCCGACTATCCAAACCAGAGTAAGTTGATTAAAGTCAAAATTTACAGTCAACTGGTTGAGTGCCTTGAAATGACACCTCACTTAGCTTCATGAAGTTATGATTTGAAAGGTATGAAGCTAGCACAATAAAAGAGTTGCGACCTTTGTAGCCAGGTTCCTAGGTTGATAAAAGCGTTACCACCATCTATCAAGAAGTTTCCTCTGAAGATGTATGGAACCGAGAAGTGTCAAGCACCCCCATACATCTCTAACAGTGCTCAAATGAACATTATTCACAACAAGACCGTGTTCTCATCTCCGTATGTTTTTTCCACCCCTCTTCTGGCTCCGCCTTTTTCACATTCAAACATTGCTAACGATCCTATAATACGAAATATTTCCCCTGTCTTCCAAACAACGCTGTCCGAAACCTGTGTCAATTGAAGAACTTCACGAAGACTCTCGTGATACTGATACGAACTGTGTAACCCGAGATATGGAGCCAACGAGAATCATCCTTCGCGTAATGGGATATTCGACAAGTTTCGTCACATGTCACATAAAAATTATACTTTCTTCGACTATTTAGGAATCGATCTCTATCTTTATAACTTATTGGAGATAGCAATTTTTCTAGTAAGAACGAAAAAACTGCATTGAAAATCTTTCTATCCTCCAAGTACAGTGTTGTTTCGAGAGGGATGTGTCAGCGTATAAAATGGCCTTTAGGATCAATCGCTTTACTTATTGTTATCACTGATAAGTTGTTAACAAACGTATTTTAAAAAATTTCATTTGCTTTTTGCCCATATTAGGACCAGTATATTGCCCAGAAATCCTTATTTTCTAAAACTCTGAAACGCCATTTGAATTCGGTCATAATGTACGATTTGGTTCAATAGAAGCATGGCTTACATGAAGTAGAACAAGTGCACAATCCTGGGGTTCGATTTAGCGTACTAGGCGAGAATAATAATAATCAGTTGACGAGAGGTAGAATCCTCATTGGATAGAATAGCTGGAATGTTACATATGCTTAATCACCGCCTATCTCAACGATAGTTATATACTTTCAATGACATCCTAAGTGGTCAGTCTCTCGTTTTCAAATAAACCAGCGAATGAGTTACCTGAGTGCTGCAGTTATATTCATTCTAACATGATCTGTCATACTTTTCATTCTTTGATCTCATTTGTTATCTAGATCACAGTCCTCACGTTCAGCTCTCATTTCATTTGATCCTATTTAACCTCTGTCCATCATCTTTTTACTCTTCTCGCCATGATGATGTGAATTGCGACTAGTGCCAGATCCTACGTCGATTAACTACTAAGCAATCGTTTCACACATAATTGTGTAGGAGTTTGTTTTTTAAGATTTTGGTGAAATTAGCCTAGATGATGTCTGTCGCGTTCCCGAACATCGAAATAAACGAAACATATATCGCAATGATGGGGAGTTATATGTAAATTTAACTAATGTTGATAAATGTATAGGTGAATTTATTGAACTTCCCCATTTATTCAAATGTTGTAACTGCTTCGATACTTTTTATATTTACTAGTAATAAACAGAAAAAGGTTGGAACACATACTATAATGATTATGAAGTAAAAAAAGAAAAGGGCGAAATTCGAATTATTCAAACTGTGATATAATAAGTTTACATGCGTGCCCATCTAACTTGAGACGATCAGTAAATATTAATATTTAGATAATAATGGTGGTATATTGAACAACAGACTGGTCAGTAAATATATATATATGATTTAATGAAGTGTGGAAAAAAGTAAAGGATTTCCCTATATATGTAAGTAAATGGGCATTGTCATTGATATAGTGTTACTAATATCATTATATATCTGAAGAAATGGCAACTACTCATATGATGTATATATGTGACAAAAAAAATAAGTGGAACAATTGTTAATTACTTGATGAAAAGAAATATACATTACAGATGAGAAGTAAAAAAAACAGTTCTTCAGAAAAGATTCACGTTCAAAAAGTGTCTGTCTTGTTTTGTCAGTTGGCAGTAAAAGTAAATTTTAAGTGGGTAAGTAAATAAAAACAGGGACCCAGATTAATTATGTTGTCTACGTACCTCTACCAATGAATATTTATTTAAATAATAATCTTCCAGACATTCTAAAGGATAGTAATGAATGTAGCAAGAAAACTAGTACATCAAAGTAACTTTTAATTTCAGCTTGTGAAATACCAAACTGTTAATATTATAACATGATTATCTGTATTTAAGTAAAAGAGATATACATTGAATTATTCTTGTCTCATGTTTAATAGTTCAATTTGTGTTACTGTGTTCCCTCTTTCCATAAATGTCCACTTGACCAAACAACTTGAGACAGAGTTTGTTAGAGTAAGGAAGTAAATTTTATAAGCTATATAACCTGAGGCTGTATGTAACATGATAAAGTAGAAAAAAAGATTTCACAGTAAAGTTTGGTTTCGGTTTGTATATTTTTTCTAAAAAAAAACGAAGTAGCAGAAGAGAGAAAACCTAAACAATTTTGCTTTTAGATCATCTAAAAACAGCCTCTAACTGAGAACTACGGGGGAAGATAGAGGAAGAAATGTCCAGATCATTCATTTCTTATCATAAAATGAGCGTAAAAGTCCAATTTTGTTACACAAGTGTAATAGCAATCAACATTTGATGAGATTCATTCAAACTAATTTATTGTCCGCAAATCAACCTCTTCGCGTATTGAATTCTTTACGACGAAATCCCTGTTAAAGAATTTTTAAAAACACTTATTAGAAGACTGAATGGTATGCGAAAATTCAGTGTTCAGTTAGCATGGCATATATTTAAGACATCAGTAATCTTTTTAAAATCTAAACACAGATATTTACTTTACAATTCCTATATATATAAACATCCTGAAAATATTTTGAAACCTTATGTACCCAAGAGTTTCGAGTCACAGTATTTGAGATGTTCTCAAGATGAGTTAGCTGTGCTGGTGTAGGCCTCCCCAGTAGTGTTATAAACACCAATATAACAACGCGGAGTATTTTTGAACACTCATAGTGTTTTGTGTTTTTTTCAGTGATAAAATAGATGGTTATCAAAACTTATCATTAATATTTGATTGCTAACGTTTGACTTAGATTGTGGAAATACTCGCCTTCAAAAACCACGTTGAGATTGTTGCTTCCCTCATTATAAGATCCAGTACAAACATTTCTCAAGATAAAGCTTTCGGCAAAATGTTTTTTCACATTTTTTGACTGCAATGTGGAGATTAGAGCGTCACGGCTTACATAAGCACTCAATTATGAAATGAATATTCTCGTCTAAACTGAGTGATAAGCTTTTCATTTATAAGCTCACAGAAAACATTCGATTGATAGTTTAGTCACGACACGGCAATACACCAAAGAATTCTAAGGAAACACAACCATGAGAAGAAAATGAATTAACAAAAATATTTTAAACAATAGGGATATGACTGAATACAGACGAACCTAAGTTAAAAGCATATTCATTTATTTAAACAAATAAACATTGGTACAAGGAGGCACCAAACAGATATGCACCACATAAATCATTCAATATATGTGAGGGCTGGGATACTCCCCGGGTGTCCAGACTGGAGGTGATTTTCTCAGGAGGCCACACCCCGAGTCTTTGATTTAAAGGTCTGATCCACAAGGCAATAGAGCAACGTCAGGAGATGCAGTCCTATGGCCAACCGGTGACCAAAAATTGGTTCATACGCTATTTGTTTCCTTAGGATCCTGGAGCCCATGTGTACTATTGTTTTGGAATGGACTCTTTGTGTCTACCGACCAGGCTAAAGCGCCGGACACTCGCTTTTCGTCTTCTGAATTTCGTAAACAACACCCCTGCCGCGATGAGGCAGTGGCAAATGGTGATTCACTAATCCAAACCGGAGCTTATAACCATGTAAACAGACTTACAATGAAAACTTTGAGATAACTTTTTGTGATTTCTTTAACAGATACATTATGATAAACAGTGGGCCGGTAGTCGAGAACTTTAAACGGTTTAGTTCGGAGACTAAATTACTTTATTTTTGTTAAAAGTCGTTTCCGTCCATTTCCCACAACGTAGTATGACCAAGTAAAATTTCACGTACGAAGCTCTAGAACATGACTATGTATGTAATGGATGAAAAAAATGGTCTAAAAATTCCAATATTAACTCTAGTGAGTTAGGGATGATCGACACACTTCTGATATTTCAAAGATAAATATGTTAAGTCAAGATCACGATCATTTTAGCAACCTAGTGAAACATTATCTGTCCCTGGAAGAATTCGGATTAATTATTTATTCATCTAGTTGAGCTTAAAGCTGCGATATTTTTAGAAAACCAGTAGTTACACAAAAAACATTTGTTATAAACAGAGATAAGGTTATAAAAATATAGCAAGTAAGAATTTCTTGGGTGAAGTAACTTACTGATAAAAATGATCTAACTTACCTCTTGTCTTTCTCGTTGATCATAATAAAAGAAATCGTCGAAAATAGACAATGTATGTGAATATGTGGCAAGTACTTCCATTACTTGTTTACCTCGTTCTAAAGGAAGTTCTGTAGTGTCACGAGAGTGAGTTACTGGTTTATTATCATTTGTCTCAATGCGAATATGTCTCAATGCCGTATTAGGAACATCTTTTACAAATATCCATCGAACCGAAAATTTACCTTGCCATTTATCTTGAGCCCAAACACTAGCTCTAGCATTATAGTCAACACGAGAAACCATTTCAGCCATCCCACAAAAATGTCCAGATCCATTGACTGAAAAAAATAAATATATTGGATAGGCATGATTGGCCTCAGCAAACGCTGTATCAAGCTTCTTGTTGCCTAGTTCTGTTGAACACCAGATAGAATACTTAATAGAACGATGGATATCATCTTCGGAAAATGACTTGATTACAAAGAATCTGGCCTTTTCTATGTGTGTGTCGAAGTCATTGGGGTTAATTACCTTAGCCAAACGTTGGTGCAGCGCTTCCGACTCACGTTGAAAAGCTTGTGCAGATCCATCTGAGGTTAGTAGGGATGTTGAATTATCTGCAGCATGGTTACCATTATTCGAAGTACTCTTTAGCTCGGAATTAGATTCCGCCAAAGAACGAACATTTCCTGACTGGTCCGCAGTATTAACTCTGTCTTGTTGTGTTAAATGCCCATTATTACACGAAGCATTTGCCATCAAAGAATTAGCCCTACCAACTGAATAGTTCCCAGTAGAAGTTTGGAAAGACCTGTTAACAGCTGTTGGATTGTGAGGATGAGATCTTTTCGCTGACCATCCTACAGAGTTTTGAATAACTGCAGCTGACCCTTTGGGTGGTTGTCCTGCTATATTAGCCCAAGTTTTAGTACGTGGTGAACTATTGACAGATGTAGCAATAACTGATGGTGCAGGTCTGTTACTCGCTGAAGTAGATAACCTGCTTGCTGGATAAGTACTTGGATTGGATTGTGATCTGGATATATTATCGGACTTATCCATAGAACACATGCTATTACTAATCTAAAAAAATAAAAAAGTTCACATATTTCCCAGTAATATATTTAAATGTATATGTTAGCAAATAAATTGACTATGTACATATTTGGCGTTTACCTATCAAGTAATAGTTTCAAATTGATTTATTCATAATTAGCCGATTTTCACATTTAAATGATACAACGAAATAAGTGAAGAAGTTAATTTCAAGTTAAATTCTAATTCCCAACTGAGTAAATATACACAAACCTACAAAACGTCTAGTCACACTATTAATGTTTTTAGTTATGTTATAAAAACTACCACTAATTTAAAGTTACTTGATGCATATTTAAAGGTAAAAAGTAATCGTTGCCTTACTCAGTCATATGCAACGGATCATATTAGCACGGTGAGAGACCATCAGAACAAATCACAGAATATTAGAGGCAGTAACTGTACTAGTAGTAATAGAAAAGATCAGGCATCGAAGATACGATTCAAGAATAAGTAGACTAACCTAATGAAAATAAAAATATTATACAGTAATCCGGAAACTTAGGATCTGAGGGAAAACAAATAGTGAGTGCGCCTATGCCATTCCAAATCAGTGAAAGCAATATTACCCCTTGCTTACGAAACTCTGTGAACCCCAGCAAGGTAATCTGCATCTACTTACATAGCTAAATCCAATTGCTTGTGTCTTCATAGGCTGATGCCAAATCTTGGTTTGGCTGCCTATAGCTTTCTTCCAACCTACGCCAGGCATAATCGAATATCGAGGTAATCGGTTGACGGGCGTACGTAGCACGTGTTTCAACCAACTCAGTTAAAGATTCATTACCTCACTAATTAGTTTGCCATTTTTACCTACAATCCTGCATCTAGCTCCGTGGTCCTAACAAATATGAGTAGTGCTTTCAAGGCATTTGTGGTCGAATATTAGTAAACTAAGAATATCCCCTAACTTTAAAGTAGAATAGAGTGAACAGCCACGCCGTTTGGGTGTAAAAGATTATATTTTATGGACATGATTTTAAAAACCTGAAAACAATAATAAGAGGATTTTCATGGGTCCCTGATATGTCAGCTTCACATTTGAAGTCTGTCAAACCAAAAAGCGCGAATTGGTGACTATAAAACCATATGCAGAATACATGGAACTGTATTGACTTACTCCGTTACTTTCTTTCATATGAGACCATTGTGTCACTGAAGTATTATGTAACTGAACATTACTTCCGTTCCCAACAACTGAGGTTTCATAAAACGGGACATGCAACTGATTTAGCCCATTATCACTACAAGTTGCTGTTTCGACACCACATCCAACATTTAGTCGACCGAATTCATCGATCAGATGTTGTGAGATTGTTTGGCACTGATTTACTGAAGCATAGGGATCCAACATATTAGCAGCACTACCAGGCAATCCATTTACAAGATGTGACTGAGGTCCTTGAGATGAAAACGGATAGGCAGCTTTTGAATTCGGATGATGGTAGATGAATGAAACACCAGGGTCTTCAGTAGTACATTGTTGTTGTTGCTGAGAATAGGATGCAGGTGGCGCGAAAACAGTATCTCCCATATTCGATGATGTATAATATGTATGTGGGTCTTTAGATGACATATTTGCTTCGGATGGACCTTGACTAAAGTGACTGATTGCATCATTTTCACCACAAGGTGACAGTGTTAATTGTTGACCATTTGAAGCCCAGCCCTCAAAAGGAACGACTGCACCAGTAGGTCCGTCTATAAATGAAGAGTTTGGATAGTGAGTTGGAGGAACAGTGAAAGGCCAATTAGGTAGGTTACCAAGAAGCCCATTAAGTTGGTTAGCACTAGTAACAGATGGTCTTGTGGAAGAACCAAAGTACATTGTTGTGAAATCAGCTGCTCTATTATTCATTGAGGGATTAGGTAAGAAAGACCGACCTGTTTGGCCAGAAACGGCATTTGCAGCACCCTGAGGAAGTGGATAAGCTGCAGCTGCTGCTGCAGCAACTGCAGCCAACAAAGTTGCAGCATAAGGTGATGATAAAGAACTGGATGGAATATTACAAGACTCGGATAAATCCCCAGAATTTGAGCAAGCTGCCATTGATGGATGTGTACGCATATTATTTATCATGTTTGAAACAGCGTTATAACCATCAGTATTAGACCAATCGTTTCTTCCAGAAGCCACTGCTGCTAAGGCTGCAGCGGCAGCCGCCGCAGCTGCATTTTCTGCATTTGGGGTTGTAGCTGAGTTTACTCCATTGCCCTCACCCATTCCATAAGACAAGTGCGAGAAAAGTGTCCCATAGTAAGCGTCCGCTGAATTATTGATACCATATATATTCTACAAAGCACATTAACAAATATCACAAAAATGCTTTAAATAATCAGTTAGATCAAAATGATTTATGATTTACAAAGTCACCTAGTCTATACATTAAATATAACTTGATCAGATAGTTATGATTAGTGAGGAAACGATTTATTCTAATTTTAAACTGACGCTTTAAAAAATGTAAAATGAAGCCAAAAAATTTCTGATTAAATGCTTTATGTTCTGTCTACAAATTTCAACTAAAAGATCTCGTCTCTTGATCAAGATACCCAAGTATTAGACAGCAAACGAAACTCGGCAACAGTGTAAAACTAAATGGTTTAGATAATGTACCATACTTACTGGATGAAGACATGATACTAGTCGACTACTCATATTTCATCAAAAGCAGAGGAATGAACCTGTAACTTGTCAGTTGAAGCTAGTCTAAATTAACAGCCCGAAACTAAATAGCCAAGCATTAAACGGTTTAAAAATTAACACTTGTTTTTAAATTCCTAAAATTTTTCACTAAGGGACTTTATTTGATTATTAGGACATCGTTTCTGAACGCATTTAAACGTAAAAACGAAAATAAAATGGTGGAGTTAGATGCTTATTTTTAGGACAAACAAAACGATATTTATACCCAAAATAACTTTATGCACATAATCCAGAAGCTAATGGCTCCTTATGGCGGTGAGTAGTTCCTCCATATAAGTAATTTCCCAACGATCTTAGAGAAAATGTTTACATTTTATATTGTGTATGTCACAGTAAACAATTAGTGCTATATTTAACTGTGACAGACCAAATCTGTTAATACTACCTATTATGACCAGAGTTCCCAGATATAAACCTCACTATTTTAGAGCGATTTCGTTATCTAGCTTACCTACAACTCTAGGTAGGCAACACATTAAACGACGTATCAGAGACACACTGTTTTAAATTATAGGGTTGGTAGTTTAGTTTTAAGTGAGCACATATACTTTTTGTTTCCTATATGATAACAGCCTACAAATGCTTCTCGTAAAGAATTGAGGCCTTCGACAATGCTGAGTCAAAGCATAAACTATTGAGGAATTTTGTATGAACCAAACAGTTAAATAAAATGGCGGATTCACTGAAATGAGATCTTGCTATGTAATTCATAATCGTGGAGAAAATTATTCTTTATCCACTTCATCAACAATAGAGAAGTCATTTGAGCTACAAAACTTTATTTAGCGTTTTGAGAACGAATTAAATGGTCCCATCTGAGTAAAAGCACCAAATAAATATTTTATTCATCGGGATATCTTACTGCCCATAAAGAATATAACAAAAAAAATAACAATAGTAACGCTGCTGACTTTTGCTTCGACAACAAAATGTGTGGGGTGTTAATTATTGCCAACGTACGGTCTGGCACGAACGTGCAACAGTCCACATTATTATGTTTCCTCAGCACATGGAAATAAAACTTGAAAATACGATGATCAAAAAGTAAATAATGTCAAATGTAATCGAAAGCCAAACATGAGAAATGCAACTCAAGCAGAGCAAATGTAGTTAGTCAGTAAAAAACATGGAAAAACGTGAGGATATAGAATGAACTACGGTAATAGGGTAACTCATTAATGGAATACAGATTTATGTACTTGATTTAAAGCCGCACATTTTGTGCGGAGTAATGTTACTATCTGTCTGGTTATATCGAAGTAGATGGAATAGCATCCAAACTTGTTACACCTGACTGAAAAAAAGAAGTGAGCTAAATACTAAGTCATAGCAATCATTTGGAGATAATGATAACTGAACAGACTTGTTATATTGATATGATGGGATGAAAAGTCAAAATTAGATTGATTTACTTAGTATGATTTTTATTCAACATTAATTCCGTTTTAATTCAATGTAATGATTACTCAGTATAGTATTTATTTTGTTTTCCCGTATGACATTTTATTCTGTATAACATACGATATTCTTGCATGAATTATTTTTCGTATGTGATTTATTCTGATTATTAATCAAAAATGGGTGTATGAATCAATATATAAATGAGTGCATTTCTGACTAGACTCGTCGTGGTTGTTCGTGCTTCTGGCTGCTTGTGGAATATATTTCCCTCTTCCGAACTTGGACTTCTCTCTTTAGTTAGCTGAGTTGGGACTCGTCGGAATAGCTAGCTTATTTGTCATTGTCCCAGTCTTCGTTCCGTTCTCAAATTAGGTGAACTCGTAATCGCTCCAAACATAGTATATATATAGTTTGTTTAGGCAAGGTTTTGCAAGCAAACAGCAGAACTACTCGTAACGTTATATATTGTCTTTTACAGAAAGACTAACGCCACAATAGTGCTAGTTTATGAAATCACCAAATAAACTCAGGTAATACAGTAAACAGTCAGAAATCAACTCAGATTTCCATCGGTTACAAATACATAAATACCGTTTTGGTCAGGAATACAATAGAAACCGAAGTTGACGTATCATGTTAAAACGGCAAATGGAAGTAATATAAAAATTGAACAAATAAAAATAATGTATTAGCAATGATAATGAGACTACAGCTAAAAAACATGATGTAAATGCACGGATGAATAATAAGTTTCAAAATCTACAGCAAGACAAATAATGTATCCATCTGTGCTATCGTGACTGATGCTAAACTGTTACCCGTTCCCAACCACGGTAATTTTCACACGAACCCCAACAAAGTAATCCGCAATTACAAAAATGCCTTAAACAGTCGATAACTCAACGAACTGATAACCACAACCGTAGCTGCCACCTTGACGTAGTGGTCGCGTTTTCATATCGTGGTGACCCAAATGAGTTATACTGACTGGAACACTTGCATTCTAATGTTTTACCGTAACTAAACAGGTCTGTTGAACAGATGTCAGACTGAAGCCAACAAACTTATCGAATCGAGCTAGCTTCTAGGCTAGCTACCATTCCACCGAAAATTATAGATGAGCGTTGGTTGCAATTGCATGACGCCATGAAAATGGCGGATACAGTCAGTTGTGGGTTTGCGAAACGTCCCGCTTATAAGCACTGGGTTTCTGCAGGTTCCTTACAACTCATCGAAGCCCGTCGGTCTACTCCGGGTGACCGTGAGTTTGACCACAAACGAAGGATGTTACGTAAGGAAATTGGGCAAAGCTTGTGTAAGGACCGAGAAGCCTGGTGGTCAAAGCGTGCTAATGAGTTGGAAGCAGCAGCTGCATCTGGTAATTACCGGAAGCTCTTCCAACTCATCCGAGCCACTGGCAGCAAGAAGTCTGGTGTGAGTGAAACAGTCTGTGAGGATGATGGGATGCCAATCACTAACATCCATCGACGTCTTGGACGATGGACAGAATTTTTCGAAGGGCAGTTCAACTGGCCCGCTGCTCCGGCAGCATAGGTCAGACTGTCCTGCCCTCCATGGCCGGTGACGACTGATCCACCAAATGAGGCGGAATTCCGCAAGGAACTCCAACTCTTGAAGCACTACAAATCACCTGGCCCAGATGACTTACCTCCGACTCTTTTTAAAGATGGTGGTGACTTCCTGACTAAGGGACTGACGACGTTGTTTACAAAGGTTTGGGAACTAGAGAGTGTACCAACGTCATGGAATGAGTCGATAGTTGTCCCTATCTTTAAAAAGGGTTCACGTCGTTCCTGTAACAACTATCGGGGGATAAGTCTACTTTCGATTGCGTCCAACCTATTGGCTTCCGTCATTCTTCGTAGATTGTTCAAAACCCGAGAAAGATTGACTCGCGAGGAGCAGGCTGGATTTCGTTCTAGTCGAGGATGTATTGATCATATCTTCACCCTCCGCCAAATGTTAGAACACCGTCATACTTATCAAAGGCCAACAATCTTAGTATTTCTTGATATCAGGGCTGCCTTCGATTCGTTGGACAGGACTGTTCTCTGGGATTGTCTATTGAAGAAGGGTGTGCCTGAGAAGTTTATTAACATCCTAAAAGCCCTATATAAAAACACCTCAGGTAGAGTTTGGCATACAACCACCTTTCTCCATTGTTCCATTCGAGTAGTGGGGTTAGGTAGGGTTGCCCAATCTCACCACTCCTCTTCAACTTTGCCATCGATGACATTCTGGAAACAGCTCTGATGGATGTAAGTAATGGCGGTGTGGATCTGCTGCCTGGAGAAAGACTTCTCGACCTTGAGTATGCGGACGATATTGTCTTACTGTGCGATAATGTCCAAGGCATGCAATCCGCACTTAATCAGTTGGCAATCAGTGTCCGTAGGTATGGTATTTGCTTTGCACCTTCGAAGTGCAAAGTACTTCCACAAGACTGGTAGGATTCTAATCCTGTACTCACCCTGGATGGTGAGCAGATAGAAGTAGTCGAGAAGTTCGTGTATCTGGGTAGCTGCATAAGTGCTGGTGGTCGCGTGAGTGATGAGATCAATGCACGAATAGTGAAAGCCAGAGCGGCTTATGCCAATCTGGGCCATCTTTGGCGCTTTCGTGATGTCAGTCTGGCTGTAAAAGGTCGGATCTACAACGCGTCGGTGAGAGCAGTTTTGCTCTATGCTTGTGAAACCTGGCCTCTCCGAGTTGAGGACGTTAGACGACTCTCTGTGTTCGACCATCGTTGTCTCCGAAGTATTGCTGACATCCAGTGGCAACACCATGTCAGTAGTAATGCAGGGGTTCGGCATCTTGTGATCGGGCACAGAGACGATAATCCAATTGGTGTCACCATCTTGAAACATCGACTCCGGTGGCTTGGACATGTTCTACGAGTCGTCCCAGAGAATTCCACGTTGTGCATTATTTGCCGACTCCGGGACTGGTTGGTGAAAGCGGAGATGTGGTCAGTATATGACACAGTGTCGTGGTATGAAAGAAAGCTGAAAAGGGCTGGCTTTTGTCGGTCCTTTACGACTCCCTGGTTGGGGTCCGAGAGATGGTACAACACAGTGGCTAGAGACGTTATCAGATATGGCTCAGAATAGAAGCCAGTGGCGATCATGCTGTAACCTTCTTTTACTTTCTTCATAAAACGTGGTTGTATCTTCCTTAACTGAAGGATTTCTTCTGATTGTACCCTTCTGTTCCCCTATTATTACTATTATTATCACACTACCATACACCAATCTCTTCGTTATTGTTTTTTATATCTTTTTTTACGTTCCCCACTTTTTCCTTTTTCTTCTTAAATTAACATTGTTTTGTGTGGCGCATATATATTTGGCGCACTCCTGTACCAATATATGTGTTCAAATAAATAAATAAATAAACTTATGATCTGAGGACGATGTGTTCTAGACTGCATATGATTTTGACGGCATTACGATGTTTCCGTTAAACAAAAAGTAACTGCAGCGATTCTGCTTTACCACAACAGAAGGGGTTAGAAAACGTTGGCTCCATAAACAGCATTTTATCTTACCCAACGTTTCCTCTTGACCGGTACCAAACCCTTTAAAGTACCGAGCTAACACATTGTAAACTCTTCTCAATAGGGCCCTGTGACAGGCCTTAAGCTGTTGCCTCGCAATTTAGTCTCCTTATTTGGCCTAGTGTGCTCAGACGCTTTATTTTACACGACTATCAAACTAAAACAGGACTTGGATAGAACGTAAATATATCCTAGCAACTTGAACGCATTACCTCAAAATCCTAGGGTGTTAAGACAGATTTAACCAACCAACTCTAGAGGATAAGCAGTAAAGACGGTAGAATCGTCCTGTACGGTCATTAAATATGCACCGATATTTCTTGCTGAATTAACTGAACTTTACTCACCGTTACTCAGCACAAAACGGTGGGACAAATAAAATAAACAGCTCCTTTCAGGAAGGATGGTAGCCTCCTGGTCAGGAAACTAAGTGGATTTTAGGGGTCTAGGAAACATCGTGGAATGAGAGAGCTACCTTCCCTATCGTGCCCTCACGTCATCTATACAGTGAACATCGGCAGCCAACCGTTACATATAGTGAAAGCTTTCAAATCGTCCATTATTTGCAGACGCTAGGACTAGTTGGAAAAAGCGAACAGGTGGTCAGTGTGCAGCATGGTGTTGTGCTACGAAAGCTAAGTAGGGATGAAATCTGTCGGTCCCTAACGACTCCTTTGTCGGAATCCTAGTTATTGTGCAACACAGTGGCTTGAGACGTTGTCAGAAATGGCTCAGAATAGAAGCCAGTAGCAGTACTGCATTAGCTTTTCCTTACTTAATATAAGTGACAACTTTAACTGAGGTTCTTTTTGGTTGTCTTCTGAACTTAACTGCTTCTCCCACCATATGTCACTCTCGTTCGCTTTACTAATTTGTTGATTATACCCCCTCGCATAATTCTTTATGATCTTTTTTCGTACTGCACAAATTTACCTTGGTACTCGTTTGTACTGATGTTTATGTGCTTAAGTAAATAAACAACGAACAGATTTCCAGTCATCTGCGCCAGTTGTTCAGTAGGAGACTAATACAGCTTCTACTGACCAAAGAGGCTATTAGGTGTTTTTTCACCTCATGGTTTTATGAAATGCTAATTACATAAAACAAAAATACAAGATACTATTGAAACACGAGCTCATTTATGGATCTCGAATAGTAAATTACTCTTCATATTATCATTAGCCTCGTGGCCAAAATCATCATAGCCGAGGCCTTGTGTCAAAGTTATGAATACGACTGAGAGACCAGTGAATTAAGAAAAATATTATACACAAAGATGTCATACTACAGAACCACGTTATTATACCGGATCCAAACGGCTAACGAGAATAATACGTTCATTGGTACACCTTGATATATATATATATATATATATATCAAGATTGCAGCTTAATTGTGGGTTATTTATTGACCACAAACGTATTTACGCATCACTGAGTCGCGTCTGTCTAATTAGTACTCGAAAAGAGATCCTAAAGGTGAAACAATCCATTTTTATAATATGTGCGAGTATCAGAAAGTGATGTGGGTTTTTTAGACGCACTTCAGCTCGATTACCATTTACTTAACTTACAAAACCTACTTCATTAATCTTCCTAATGACATTTTGTCCCATAAGATACCCATAGTTTTCCGGATTAAAAACTTACAGAATAAGGTGAAAGTGAATTATCCAGTAAACAATAAACTACCTGGGGCGTATTCGACATATTTCGCGCGGACAAATTTCCCACGTGCTCAGCTGTAGGGGTAGATTAAACACAATTTGTAACCATGATCATCTATGACTTCACAAAAATGTATGTCCATCAATTATACTGTAAGTTATATTGGAAAAAGATCTTTAGTTTTATGGATTAATGTCCTACTGCCGTTTCAAGTCGTGATTTGTCACATCTCTGATTTCATATACTTGAAATTGTCCAAATGGTTGTGGACGGAATAGATAAAGCTTTCGCTCAACTGCCTTCCGTGTTTAGTAGCAGTGGATCACCAAAACCTCCAGGCAGGAACCAAGGTATATTAAGGGTAATAGAGAAAAAAAGAAACTGGTAAATCATAATAAGATGTTTTCCTTAGTCCTTAAGAATAGGTTGAGTTTCCTCTTAAAGGACTCCTGGAAAGTCGCTTTAACTAGTTCAGTCGGCAGCAAATTCCAGCATTTGACAGCTCTTAAAGAAAAAAAGTTGTGTCTACAGTCCGTCCTGCTGTATTGTCTCTAGTTTCTGGGTGTTACCACATTGTTTTGTATCGGGACTAAGCTTAAGTAGGTGTTTAAAGGGATGTCCTGAAGTGCTAAGGATACTGTAAGCCATCAAAAGGTCGCTTCTAAGACGCCTATACTCTAATGGGTAAATGTTAAGTGATTTGAGGCGCTCTTCATAAAGTATAAATTTGAGTCCTCGGACTGATTTTGTGGCTCGCCGTTGGATATGCTCCAGAGTGTCCTTATCCTTTTGGAGTGAGGGAGGAAGTACTACGTTTCCGTACTCTAAATGGGGACGAATAAAAGTGTTGAAGATTATGTAGAAAGTTCTTATGTCAAACTGGCCAAGAATGCGCTCCAACGTTATCAGTGCAGGGTTTGCTCGAAAGGCATTTCTGTCACAGTTAGCGTAGGACTTTAAATCGTAGGGTATCAAGACTCCCAAATCTTTTTCGACTCGGGATAATAATAGACGGGAGTTTCCTAAGTTGTAACTGTAGTCTGCAACATGTCGCAGATGGACTACTTCACACTTTGTAGTGTTAAAGGTAAGTCCGTTATCGTCTGCCCAACTTTGAAGTCGGGTCAGATCCCCCTGAAGTGCCAGTATATCGTCTTGGTTGCGCATTTCTCTCCAAAGTTTCACTTCATCAGCAAAAAGTAATAGGTCTGACGATACCTGTCGTGGAAGATCATTTATATAAACCATGAAGAGAAGAGGTCATAGTACTTAGCCCTGGGAAACCCCACTAGGACATTCCATAGCCTGCGATAAAGTGAAATTAACCCTGAACTTAAAATGTCGATGTTTCAGGTATAAAGTGAGCCAATCGATTAGAGGTGGTCTGATACACAATCGTTTGAGCTTATTGATAAGACATGTATGGTTAACCTAGTCAAAAGCTTTTGAGAAATCAAGGTAAATGATATCAACCTTACCCTTGCGATCAAGGATGCCCGTCCATCTGTCCACCGCAGTCAGCAGGTTGATTTTACAAGAGTAACCCTTCCTGAAACCATGCTGTTGGGATGAGAAAATTTAAGAACAACAAATAGTCACGTATACCATCGCATATCAGGGACTACATGATTTTTGAAGGTATTGAGAGAAGAGCCACCGGTTGGTAACTTGAAGGTTCGCTGCGTCGACCTCCTTTGAAAATTGGTGTGGTGTGAGCCAGCTTCCAATTTTCCAGTAGTTTGCCTCGGCTTAGCGAGTCTGAGAACGTCACGCCAAGTGGTTTTGCCAGGATTGAGGCTGCTTCCCTCAGTATAGCAGAGTGAAACATATCTGGGCCAGGATAAGTGTTTTTTCTCAGGAACACCACGTCAGCGCTCAAGTTCACTTCGGAAAGTTCTGTGCAATTGCAGATGAAGCTGTCATCAATATAGTTGATGTGAGTCAGTTGAAATGTCCAAGATTATTGTTCATCCAAAAGGTTAGCGGCATCGCCGGCGTTATTGGTCGAGTCATTAGGACCTTGCAGCTGGGAAGCTCAAGTTTCGGCTTGTCGAAGAGAGGCTGCATAACGGAATAAGCTTTTCGGATTGGAGACTAATTTATCCAAAAGCTTTATCTGGTACTGGAGTCTATCTTCTCTCATACCCTTCGGGCATATGTTCCTTATATTTTTGTGTTGCCTGTGCGTCCCATTGTTGTCAGTTCGTCTGTATTCTGCCAGATAGTGCCTTTCGCGCCTTAGCAGGCGAAGAGTGTGATTCTTGATGATTTTAGGTTGCTTGTAGCTTTTGGGGACCGATTGAGGAACTGCATGCTTTGTAGCACATAACAACGTTTGAAGTAAGAAGTCCTAATGAACATCCACATCGAGTTGAGGGTGAACATCCCAATCCACTTGTCGTAGATTGCCCTGTAGAGCTGACACATTCAACCGTTTGAAATTCCAGCGCAAGTTGTTGGTGGGATATCTTAGCTCAGTTTTGCCGACGAAACTGAAAGTTATAACGGTGTGATCGCTTTTTCCCAGGGGAGCCAGGATTGAGAGGTTTTCAAATAGGAATTCTTCGTTTGTAAATACACAGTCTAAGAGCGATGGTGTCTGACTGCTTCTCCAACGAGTTGCCGACTTTACATTTTCGTATAATCCCAGAACCGAGCTTCACTTTAGTTTTCATCTCCAGTATACGTATGTTGACTCTAGGGAGATTGAAGTCCCCTAAAATCAGGATATGGGTGAATCCGAGACGCGTAGAGCTGGATAGTCCACCCAGCATACGACCGTCATGCTTAATGTCAGCAATGGGCTTCATATAGATGACCCCGACAAGGCACCTCGAAGTAGTAGACAATCTTACTGAGCACCATACGGATTCAGTAAGGTTGTTAAACTCGAGGTTATGAACTTGATGTACCTCCAAGCAAGATCGTATGTACACGGCTACCCCACCCCCAATTCCTGTTTTTTCTGTCGTTGCGAATTAAAGACGTCCCAGGTGCTGCTAACTCCTGGTCCGAGAACTGAGAAGCTATACAAGTTACAGATATTCCTATCAGATGAGCCTTATTAGCATTGCCAAGTTCACGTAGCTTATACGTTTTATTTGGTAGACTCGCAGCGTTCATGTATAAGTAGTTTATGCTTTCAGTTTGAAGCGCGTGAGCTTCTGCCTGTTTGTCTGTATGAGCCTTACGTGAATGGACAGGCAGCCTACCTATATAAGGATTGCCGAGTCGGTAGGCCCTGTCTTTAGCAGGTTTTTTTATGAACAAGACAGTCCACGAGTGGAATTGTCAGCTCCGACTTATCTTTGTGCTTGATCCTGGCGTCGGGTGGCCTATCCGGGTGCATATGGATTCCAGCTGGCAACCGACGTCTGTTGGCACGAAATGCTTCCAGAGTTGCAGCCGCCATATGGGAGGATAAGAAAGTTATCCGTATAAGCCGGGTTTTTGAGCCTCAAGGAATGCTTGATGAATTTTCATTCATAATATCAGAGTTTGCTTGAATAGGGTCCGTTATTTCCGGTACACCTTGAACAATTATATTCCTTCCGCGGAACAACTTGCGAAATTCTTCAAAGACGTTCCAGATGAGATTGCGCTCAGAATATGGTATGTCGGGAAGTATTCTTACGTTCTCATCGGTTTTCAGTAAATGACTAGCTAACAGGGCATCCTCGACGTCGGTAGCATTCTTAAGTTTTACACGAAGTTGACTCGGGTGATTTGATGCATAGATTCCTTTCTCCGAGTGGGCCGTGTGACCGTCAAAAACTCTATTCTAGGAAGTTCGAGCTTCTTGTTCAGTTCTCCCCAGAGCATCCTGTCATTTCTGTCCGGCAAACTGAGAGGAAAGTCAGGGTTGAGAGAGTCATCACAAACCGTTATTGTTTTTCCAGGTTTTCCGGTGCGTTCATGTTCAGCACCTTGTTGGTCATAGGTCAAAGCGCGTTTCTGATTCCTAGGCTCTTGGATGACCGGACGGACATTCTTGAAGGTAGACTGTGCGATGAAATCACCAGTTGATTTCCGAACAATACTCGGAAAGTTCAGCTTAGACAGTGACGCCTGGTCACTTTTAACGTGGGTCTAATCACCTACAGAGTTTTTGGGAACCACTGTTGAATTCAAGGACCCTGAGCTGGGAGACCCGAGTTTGCCAAGAGAATCAGGGATTACAGGCCGTTTTAATTATTTTCTAGTGAGCTTCTGTGAGAGTTTGTTCTTCTTCTGAACAAATCAATTGAAAGTGTGGATATCGCTTCTTCCAGTGGTCGGTTTCAAGAGTTGCTGACACATTGTGAAAATTTGTGTGTCGTGAACATTTTCTGAACACTTCTACTTCTCAGAGTTTTCTGAGTTAGATGGAATAAAAAGAGATGTATCAAGTTACCAAAAAAAGCCCTAACAGTAAGAAAAATTCTTTGAAAAAACAATTTTACAATATTACACAGTGGAATTTTTATTGGACACCAACTAACTGAAGGTGCTCGTTCAAAAATACTCAGAGTTGAAGTAAATTAATAGTTATCCAAGTCTTTCACATTGATGTTGATTTCAGTTTTACTGGACACATTCTAGCTAAAGGCGTTGGGCCACGCATTCACACCAGATCACCATTAAGTACGCTGTGCTGCGCATTCATCATAAGAATCAGCCAGCTTAGATAACATAACTTATATCATACCGAATACCTTCCAAATATGTATTATAACTCCTTCAATTATTACTACCTATTTGACTGTGTTTTGAGTCCTACGATTACAAAGTTGTTGCGGAAAAAGCATTGCTAAGCTCTGAATATCCGTGACACATTTAGACATATTGATAGGTCATTAATGTAAATGATCTGTGTCGAATGATTGAGTGCCCACTCGAGTTACACGGGAATGGTGTGTGAAATAACTGACTTTCAAGTGGCATCTTGAGGTCAGCACCTAACGTGCATTACCACTTCGTCCCATCAAGGTACCACAGCTGATTTGCAGACCGTGCAACACAAAGGACATTATTACAGAAATATTTTAGTAAGTGTATGTACATGGAAGAGATTAGGGCCATCACCTCATGGGTCAGTCCACGGTGCGTGATTATTTGGCACGCGTTGGTTGTCCTTAACTTTGACGGCCATTGGCAAACTGTTCGACGTTCAGTGACCCAAACGCCAGATGATTCGGCTAGTGTTCAGTTACATTTCACTAGTCCTATATATTAGAGGGAATGTATGAGCAACTGAGATACAGGTAGATTATTATTCTTCTTTTGTCATATCTTTTAACCGTTATCAAAAACACAGTTCAACTACCAAGAGATAGATCTCAATAAATAAAGTTTTCTAACACTGCCAAGCAAAACTTTAAAAGTTGCCACATGTATTTTGAGTTTGACAACGCCTTTACTCGTAACACCATTACAGTCGAACGATTGCAAGACAGTCAGATCATAAGTCAGAGGTGAAGGAAAGCTGTCTATGTCGAGAAGTGTTTTGTCTAAGCTGGCGATTAGTTTAAAGGGTTCCATAGCACGGCGTACCCACTGGTGGTCTGGTGCGGATTCAACTAGAGTGCTTAAATTAAAACTAATAAGGTCAGCGTCAATATCGAAGACTTGTGGAACTATCCATCTTAAGGACTCATTTACATCACAATTACATTGAGTTTTTATGTCCGCTACACTGAGACTGAAAAATGATAAGTGTTTGATTTGAAAAAGAAATCCTATTTTAAATCTCGGAAAACTATAAGGGATGTTAGACTTAGCAATGGTTTAAATGACAATAACTTTTGTCAAACAAAGCACTATTCAACCTGTTAGTTCACGGTGAACTGTAGGTCTTCTCAAGGTCAGTGGCGCACAATAAACATCGGCCATTATTCAACTCTCCAGTATTGTCGTTTGTTATTTGGAGAAATCTAGTTAATTATCAAAGAAAATCCAGTCTTCCTTCTCTGCGTCTCGAATCCAGTTTGCATTCGAACGATCCTTGTCTCCCGATTTAGGAGTTTTCTTAAATTTGGGACCTAAATACTATGAAAATTCGTATTTTCCTGTAGAATCCGAGGAAATTTGAAGGGACCACCTCCCAATCGATATAAATTGTTTTGATACAACTGCAGCATATACGGTAAAAAGATATTATTTACATTACCTTGTTCTTCCTGCTTAGCAGATTTCTCTGTTCTAATGTGGTCTTTAGTTCCTCGTTTGCTCTTTACTTTATGTAGCGTCTAACCTAATGTACCGAAAGTGCGCTCGGCAAATGAATCCGTTTTTCATCCTAAATTAGTGCAGATCTTTTTTTGATGTTTTTTGTGATTTCAGTCATGAAAATTGCTAAAGAACAACTCACCTACACTCCCAGCTACTGGTCTGTCACAATTATAACCATTTCTACTGGCTAAGTGAAGAGAATGTGTACAAGCTGTTAGAATATCTGAGGGAGTTCGGTAACTTACAGTGTGGATACGTTGTATTTTTGTCCAATGTGAACAAATCTGTAAGTTGTCATCAAAGTCCATCACACCAGACACTAGATTGGTTTGTTCGCCCAAGTAAAGGGAGATCCTCAAATGGACCATTTCATCATATGGGTAATTAACGCTCCAAGTCTACTGTTTTGTTTTCTTTTAAGGATTACCACGTTTTCCTCATATACGACGATATGTCCAGTTACTGGGTTTATGACTTTGACTCACTACTGCCGTTTCCCACCCCATTTGTCCAGTATCTAACACACGGACTCCGGCAGAACACCGTTCTTCCAGAAGAACTACATAGGTAAGACTTTTGCATTCGTAAATATGCGTCACTTTTGCTCATAACTGCAAATTGTAGTCTCAATTCTTGTGTTATTACTAACCATATACCAATAACTAGTGTTATTGTAGAACGTTACTGGGGTGTACTTCAACGATGACTTTGATCGAATCCTTCTAACCCGGTTTGAATAATTTGAGTAAGTTACACAGGTTCTCTCTTGAACAAAAGTACCATGAGTTAGGCGTATCTGTCCATTTCTTATTCAAATGTCTTGATGATGGCAGTTAACTTCATTTAACTTGGAGTTGATGAGTGGGTGACTAGGTATTAACTAAGAGTCACTCGAAATGTACCAACAGTGTTTTAAGCCATCTTTTTCAGAGAAACTTTGGTTAACAATTTCAATGGCAAGTTTAAAAACTTATAATAACGTACTACATGAGGTGTTCCTTCTCTATTGCTGACTAGCTATTGTGTTTATTATTTATCACAAAATAATTCTTGGAGGAAAGAAAAGTACGTGCTCCTGAAGAACAATGAAGGCTTCACAACCATACTAGCTCAAACCACGAAATCCTCATCTTGAAATATGAAGTCATCTTAATGGTCGATGGTTCATGATAATATTAGGAGAGAATTTCATCTGTTAATAACAGTATGGATATTAGAGAATATAGCTCACACAACACTCATTTCAGATCTCATTCATCTAAAAGGTACACGACATACTTTATAGAGGACAATTGGAAACCATTAGATTCCTACCGGCTATAATTTGGAGTTATACTTGGTAACCGTACGTGCCACTGGCTTGTCCAGTCTCTAAAACCCCTTTCGCGAAACCGTGAAGTACAATCATATTTTAAACAAATACTACTCTTCGTTCAACAATCTAAGTTATAAACTGATCATTCACCTAATTTCTACAATTAGTTTCTGTGGCACCAAGCAGTGCTTGATATAGTAACCTTTGTGTTGATATGCGTAGTTTGTCTAGAACACTAGAGCAACTCTCACTAATTGGGCCCTGATTCCCACTACTCCTAAACACTTAGCTAAAACCCAACATTGTTTATTGTTACAGCTAAATTCGATCCTTCAGTGAAAAAATGATTAAAGACAAACTCGTTGAACTTCCTCTGCTTAGAGACTAAGTTTCATAAGTACAGGACAGAAGCGCTCCCACTGCAGCGCCATACGATTGACATTCAGAGGCCAACACTACCCAATAATCCAAATCATCACATAGGCTCTATTACCTGTCGATCCGGTTACTCTCACTCATCATGGTAAGGATAAGCCTTAGTCTAGGTTACGTTGTTTATTAGACAGTTAAACATCTGCTTTGTTTGCTGCTCTAAATACTGATCTGACACTAGACATGTTCTAAAATATTTCAATACTTGGGCTGTCTTACAGTGAGGATCCATCTTTTGTTATACAATGTTGATTAATAAAAGTGAGGTGACAGTTTGAAAAAAAACTGTTTTATGCTGCAGACATTAAATTCACAAGCTGGAACAAACAGTCAAACAATTAACAGTCACGGATATAAACAAACATGAGTTTTATTAGTTTAATAAACAGCTAAAAGTACGCAAAGTATATGCTAAAGGCTGATTGGATTTTAGATGTGACCATTATGTGTATCTATAGCCACACTTGTGTAAATTTGTCTCTTGATTTGTAACAGTATCTTGTTTGTTAGTGTTTGCATGTTGGTACATGGAGCTTTTGTTCCTCTATTAATCAGCCCAATTCTACTGTCAAATAGATAATTAACAAACGACTACTGAAATTCAAACGATACTTGGTACTACCTCTAATAAGTCACTATTATGTTTTTTGTACGTACTGCTAATTTTTTCGTGATTTTATATATTTTTATGAAAGAGGGTTGATAAATGAATGAAATTTCTTGATGGGTAATATCCAGTGTTATGAATTGACTGAGTGGTGGGTATTCACTAGCTGTAATCCCTTATGAACAGGTATCTGAAGACAAGACAGCTATTTATTAGGATAGGCTTTTTATATAATAACATACAAATATTAGCAAGAAAGTAAACATGATTAAATGTTATAAGCTGTTAGATGAAATAAATTTTGTTAGTCACTACTTCTTCATTAAGTTACGATCTTGATAATCATACATTGATTGCTGTTTTATTTCAGTTTTTAATTCATTCTGGTTCACATTGGATAGGTTTGTGAATGTTTAATATATGTTTTTATTAAAACAGTCGATGCACCGAAACGCGAGAGTAACCAGCCATAGAAACCAATCTAAAATAGTGCAGTCAGCTATTTATTCTGCCCACCTTAAGAATAATAACATACTTAAGGAAGCGAGTTTTTGAAACACTTGTGACAGACTCCAAACACCATGATGTTTACTCCATTCATATACTTTATTATTCAGTACGTATCACTTATATTGTCACTTATGAACATAGTTATTATTGGCATATATTTATGTATAGAGTTTTATATACTAGTAAAATTGCAGACTTTTGCTTCTTCTGTCGACTAAACAGTTTGTTAGCGTCTGTAATGGACTTTTACTCAGGAAATTTGTTTAAAGGTTGCTCTTCAGTTGTATTGCATGGATTATATTTGTTTGCAATGCCATGTCATTCCTCTTTGTTGTCACAGGTCCTATCGCGTTATCCATGGCGTCGACTACCTAAATCACTTTTCATCAGATCGTAGTCATATGCAGCGTGAGGATGGCAGCTGGATAGCACCACCACCAACTTATGAATGTATTCGTGGACAGAGTTCAAGTTCGTTACATACTTTACCCTTCTACTGGGATATGACATCTAATATAGTTGAGAACTTATCACTGACGGGCAGTGTTTATGGAACTGTTTTAAGTGAAAGCGAGTTTTTCAAAAAATTCTCTGGTGTTTAGCTTATTATCATAACCATTTCATTTTATTGACTACAACGTTTCCTTTCAGTTAACACGAAATATGTTTTAGTTCTTTTTACCTACTTCTTCCAAAGCATCTTTCTAATATGTTAGTATTCCAAACAATAGTAAGCTAGTATGCACTTTGTGACTTACTTTTCAATGTACATCATTGCGATCAAAACTGATCTTTTGCTTCCAGTCACTACTGAGTTTTTATATTATCTTAACAATGGTACGGTAGAATTCAAATGCTAATACGGACTTAGGTCTAATGAAATTATTAGACACAAGGACTTCAATAATACACGAACAGATGCAGAATGGTAAGAGGTAATTGATCTGAATGAGAAAGCTTTTCTTATCATTGGGTAGTAGTGCCTTGGCTAGTAGTTTTTGATCAATAAATACTAGGAACCGTCCCTTCCATCATATGTGCGAATTAGCTAACGGGCAAATAGACTAGTATGTCAACACCTACGTTATTTTCGCCAGTCTCAAGTTTTGAGCAGCGAGAATTTTCTGCATGGCAGTGAACTGGGTGAAGAGCACATTTTGACATTTTCCACAACTCGGAATCTGGAATTGTTAAGATAACATCCTCATTAGCATGTCGATAGAACGTTAAAGACCTCGACCACTTCGTTCATCTACATCATTTAAACTATGAAATCCAATCCACTCGTTTACATTCTTATTGAATGTAAATAGAAATTCATTCGTGGGCATCTACAAAGAACTGAATAAACAATGTCCGACTTAGAACCATCAACAACCATGACTGATAACCAACATTCAGCCTTATCAGTATCCATATGGGAGAGGTTACAGTGATCAAACCGTCAACATCTCTATATAATGGATAAAAACTTCTCTGCACATCCATCAGTCGACGACAACTTGTGCTGGTCTTGAGTGTTATAACTGCATTTGACATCTTAGTGGAGTCACCATTCTGCGTAGAGAATAAAGAAATCAAAGTATTCGTGAGTTATTTTAAAGACATCTGGAGTGATTAACTTGTATGAATCTAAGGCTCCGATTCCCAAATCATACTATGAAGCACCTACAGTTTCGTTTTGGACGATCTTCAACAAACATTACTGTAGAGCGGTGGGATGAAGGCTTGAAACAGCTCGTCCGAACACAAAAATTTATTGATGCTCAAAAAAGCAAATGTCTAAATGGATTGAAAATCAAAGTCTGGCAGGGATCTAGCAATGACGTGAAAAAAACACGGAGATATCAACACGGATTAAAGTGGTTTTACAAGATTATAGGAACAGATAGATACGAAACTATTTACTTGATATAGCACTCAATTTCGACTTACAACTTTAGACATTAAACCGTGCTGTCAAAATTCACAAGTGCAAATAACATTCATATCTCTATTACATTATTAAACTACTTTATGCGTGACTGTTTTTTATCTGCGCCTATTTTGATAGTCACTATGTTGGTGTGCACCCTTTCGCCTTGATCCTTCCATCATAAACGGGTCCTCCGTTTAGAAGTGTTTTAATAATTGATAATCCTGTCAACCATGTATTTTTAGTCTGAAGCTTTTACCAATTGAAAAAATTCAGAGTTTTAAATTGATGGCAAATGACGCTCTTTCTGTTCTCCTTTGGTTTCTCCTCTTTTCCACTTAATTATTACAGCCATATAAGAGGAACGACGGTTTGTACCTGAATCCCTGTGTTCACACCACGGCGTCCAACGTAGGACAAAACGCGCGTTGTGGATTCCCATTCCGTCTTTTATATAACTTTATTAAGGTTCTTGTGACTAAATGGCAATACCAAGGCATTCTATTCAGGATGTACATATGCCAAAAGCGACTGACCAATTCCGATTCTTAACAATGATGAGAAAATTCATCACTTATACGGAAAATTATGTCCAGTGCTGTTTATGTGGATTACCCGTAGAAGAAAACAGCCATTTCCATTTGATTTAAGCTGTTCAGCGAGAACTGGATATTACGAGAGTAATGGGACTTTGTTTCAATAAGTGCATCCAACTTATTCAGTTTATTCTGATTCCCAACCGGTTTTTCTGTCTCAATTATTCCTAATGAATCAAGCTGTGAGAAATTGTTTGCATACGACATTCTAGCAGAACATTTCTGGTTGAGAAAATTGTTGGACGATAAATTAGCTAAGGAGCCCAACTTCTGTAAACTTTCATGAATTTTTGAAACAGTAGTAGCGAAAATGGGACAGATGCATTAGCACAAATGGGGAGTAGTTCGGAAAAAGATAAAATAATTGATATTTTATAAAATAAAGCCTTTATCCACATGTTTATTGGATAATAATATCTCATTTTCTAGAAAAAAGTATATAATAACAAAGAACAAATTACTAAACTTTGTATAAACTAGAATGAAAATTTTATCAGCCAATTTATCTGCTAATTATCATCTAACTGGTCTGAATGTTTGGTGTGACTTTTGCAGTCGTTTTTTTTTCACTAAGACGAGCATATCCTATTTCTAGTATGATCAGAAAATGATAATGTGAATTTTTCACTCACCTCATTTATAAATTTGTACAATGATTAACTCATGCAGGAAATGAGTAATGATAATTTCTTTCTAGTTTGTAATTTCTCTAATACAGTAATAACGTATTTTATGTTTGGATGGGTTTATCATTTTGGTATGTACAATAATTCTTAAAAGTAACAAGTACATATTGAGATTGATCAGCATAACCTATACTTCAGTCTAACACAAATAACTTTCCAGTTGTACACAGCAAGTGAGTATATGCTAACTCCGAGTTGTCTATTTGCAAAATAACGCTTAACGAAGCTTTCTAGATTACAGTTTTGACACCAGTATTATATCTTCTAAAGTTTAAACGACCATCCTAGTCACTTGTTGTTGTTAGTTTCGTTGTACATCAACCTTGCCAAAATAAACGTAGGACAATACAAAAAAGGCGATATCGCAGAGTTCTAGAAAAATTTAGTAGTTCCCAGTTAATATCTCCAAGTGAATAATAATGTAAATCGATTGTGAAATCGCGAATAAATACATGTGGAATAATATAGGGTTAGTCATAAACTAGAGCGCTGTATGGAAGCAATTAGCTCTTGGCTTGAGAACGATATTGAGCTCTTAGAAAAGGTTCAGTGGACATCAACTAAGTTAACATATCGTGTCGTTGAGCTTCTGCATGAGAACATGTTGGTTTAATCAAATATTCTCTTATCATGCAGAAAGGCTTGATATAATCCGATCACAATCTTCAAGCTACTTTCTGATCAATTCTACTCCTATATGTCCTCATTACTTGTACCTTATATAGTAGCAAGAATATGAGTATATACTTAAAGGTCAACAAGCCTATGAACAGTTACTCGTCGACCGGGAATTGACTTTCTCATCAAATCGTTAACCAGTTAGACTCTTCAGCTCAATATGTTGTGAAAACATCTTAAGGAAATGTGTTCATAGAAGGTTAGATAAATCAAAAGTCCCTATTTTCGGGACTAACCTTCCAATCTTCTGTTCTTTCCAAACTAAAACTGACAATTCATGTTTATTTATGACAGAAATACACTAATAACCCTATACAAGTTTGTAATATGATTCATTTTCATTGGAGACTAGAATAGACTGAAAATTAGTAACATTTTTTTATATCTATAAATTCCGTCAATACAAAACACTAATTGTGATCACTGTTTTGGGGAAAATCACTCACTTATTCACATCTAAGACTGGTTGTCGATGTGGACTGATATTGACTGGAGAACCTTTGGAAACTCGAATTAGATGAATGTTTTGCCTGCGCTTGCAGCTCCTCGTCAGTATGCGCCTGTTGTGATGTGCTACTGATGTCGACTGATATAAGTTGTATGTATCACTAATCGAAAGTGGAATGCCTGGCTGCAGAAAGTTAACAAGATCGAAGAGAAGATACCGAAAACAGAGAGTGATTGGTATGGGAACGACAAAGTCTGAGACAATTAAAATAACCCATAGTGTCATTGAATAAGAAAAAGAGAATTCAGTGAAGAAAATTTTCTTTTCGACGATATCATTTACTTAAGCTGTACATCCGTGTATGTAGTTATGTAGAAAGTGTATGTCTATAGGAGGATAGAAAAAATCGCATCACCAAAATGGATTCGAGGATAAATAACAAATGAGGTTACGTACTAATCAAGGGGTAAGGAAGAAAATCGTTTATGAGTCAGATAACAGTCCAATTGACAAATATGAAGAAAAGCGACAAACACACACAATAATAGACTGAATCATAATCAAGAAAACTTGTATAAGGTAATAATAATAATTGTTTCAAGTTTAAAATGCAAAATAGTAGTTTTAATCAAATAAAAGTGCAGAAAAAAAACAGAAACATACCCATTAAGAGAATTAGGGCCAATGAAGGGTGGGAGGCCGGACAAATCGTTTCTGCACGCAATGTTCGGGCTTGAGTTCGTGAATTGCCAGTGCCTCATCAGTGCATAGAATATTGATTCGACACCCCTTCGATCCAATTCCTTTAATTGTGTGGATCACTTTTAACGAAGAATACTTGGGAGCAGTGTGTCCATAATTAAATAAATGCTGCTGTATAGAACTAGTGATTGTCTTACATTCTCCTTTTGCAAGCCAAGCCGGATAGTGTTCTGAGATGCGTTTGGAAAGTGATCGCTTTATTCGGCCTACATAACAAGCCCCACGTGAGCACGTATAATTGATTTATACTGCGTTATTAATAATAACTGGTTGTCGAAATCCAGTAGTTCCTTTCATTTAAAGTGACAGGTTTGACTGCGGCAATGCTACCAATTGTCACAATACTTGGAAAAAATATTATTATTATTATTACCTTATGCAAGTTTTCTTGATTATGATTCAGTCTATTATTGTGACCTTTGTGTTTGTCGCTTTTCTTCATATTTGTCAATTGGACTGTTATCTGACTCATAAACGATTTTCTTCCTTACCCCTTGATTAGTACGTAACCTCATTT